AGTGGTGTGGTATCCCCCCCCCCCATGTATTCCTCTTTGAATGGGGATCACACTTCAGGGGTGTTCATCATTTCCTTCACATATTCAGTGTGGGATTCTAGCTATGCATGTGAGAAACAGTAATGTACCATTTTGAAATTTATTATTTTACTATACTGAAAATATATTTCCAATAATTACTTACCTCCTCTCACACTTCCCACCCTTCTTCCTTGCTGAAACTGGTGCTTCTTTTTCTGCCTAATCTTTAAGTGATAAATCGATAGAATCGACTAGAGGAATCACATGCATCAGGAGGGTGTGTCACACTCCTATTGATGGAGCATTGTCACATGATGATTTACATGCGAGATGCAGTTGAACCATGTTAATACATGGGAGTTCAAGGCTTGTGGCACATGAAAAATTTTTTGCAGCACTAAATGAAAATAGCTATACATGTGAGAGGAGGTAATTACCGATTGGAAATATATTTTCAGAAAAAGGAAAATAATAACTTTTAATAATGTATTCACTGGTAATAGTGAAAACTCACATGAGACTCATCAAAAACCACATGCTTCAAAACATCATCTTTATAATTTTTCAAAAATTCATAAGAATGTTCTTCAGTGTTTAGAGGAACAGAATGCATCATTAAAAAATGCAAGAAAAACTAATGAGTTGCACTTAAACAGAAAATATTCACACTAAATTTTCATGAACAAATAATTACCAGAAATATGTTACTCCAAAATGTTTATTTATGTATCTTAGAGTTTCAAGAACTTTCTTAAGAACATAAGACTGTTAAGAAAGCTACTATGGGCAGGCTTTAATCTGGGTTTTATTTGTTCTCACCAATTCCCAAGCAAATGACTTTCTACTTAGTTTGTTAAATGTTCTCTTCATCTCTACTTATTTCAAAAGTTGTCTTCATTCTCACTTTTATTGGTCCATTTGGGTTAACTTGGATCCACTCCGTGTAGTTGCAGGTGTGTGTTTGTGCGATTGTATTTTAACTTGTTCTTTCACTGGTGAGAATAATTGTGAAGTCCACTCTATGTAATGATAATGAATTTTTTTTTTCAATAATGATTCCTACAAGCTACATTTACTTTTATGCAAATTGTAGGCCTAAGTTCACAAACAATTTAAACTTTGAAACTACTGTAGATCTAATGCATTAATAATGTTTAACGAAAACTTAATTGATTGATAGCAAACCTAACTTAATTGTTAAGTCAATCTTCTCTCGATCAATAACTACTTGATCTTTCATACACTAAATACTTCACTAATTTCTTATTCACAATTACTCTTATTTATATAGAGTGTACCTTATCTGATATTAATCAAAGATCTTAATGTCTTTCACCGGATCTTTAGCTAACATTTTAAGTAAAATATTCAAAATATAGTTTACAGCAATATACAGTGTTGCTGCTAGTCTGAAAGTATGAAAAATCAGGATTGAGTTTAAATTTTTTATTATTCAATATTTTAAACAGTTTACGGCTGAACCTAATTTTCCTTGATTTGCTCAGACATTCTGCTATAGAAGGTTATAGTATTATACTGACTTCTGTGGTTTAACTGTAAAAAAGTGGTGTAAATTTTTTCTAGATGCTTTCTTTTTCCAGGAAGTCTCTTTACTCAGTTGCTCCCCCCACCCCCACCAGAATGAAAACCCAAATTTTATAAAAAGAATTAACAAGTGCTTTGTTTTAAGAGATTTTTTCTAATGTGTATATATTTACTAGAATAACACGTGCTTAATAATTTGTCTTTCAAACTGTATAACAGGAACAAACAGGTATTTCAGAACTTGTGCTAATAAAATGGGAGTGGAGATATCTTTTGTAGATGCCAGAGACCCTGTCAATGTAAAGGATGCTTTTAGAAATAATACTAAGGTATGCTTGAATGTTGTTTCCTTAAAAACAGTTATATTGCAAATGTAGAATATCGTATATTCCTAAGCCTTGTCTTTCAGTGATTGAGTTCTGAAAGCTTTTATGGTCATTTTTTTATTCTTTATAAAGAAAAGCATTTATTTTGAATATAACATATTTAAATATATATATTTTATATTAATCCAAATAAATCACTTTAGAAGTATATATATATATATATACTAAATATCGAGTTAGTTTATGCCAGTGTACTGTGTCTTATCTGTTTTTATCATTTATCAAATTTGCTTAAAATCCATTTTCTTTGTGCTCATGTTAACTGATTGTATTTTGCATTCCAGTATTATTGATAACATCATCTAATAGATATGAAGTCCACTCTACATGTTTTAAAAGTAGCAACATGTGATAATTGTTATTAATTTTGTAAACAATGCATACATAATTATACTACTATTAAAGTCAAGCAATAAACAATGTGTACCACATGTTCCTATCTTTAAAAGTGGAAGAGAAAGTCTATGAAAGAACTGGTAAGCTAAAAGAATATTCAAAGTGCAGTGGCACATGCCCCTTCTGCCCTCTGGTTTGATATATACATAATTGTTCTGTCTCCTGTGAAAATGAAACAAAATCAATAACTCTGTCACATTTTGTTTTATCTCAAATGCCCAAATCATCAATTTCAAGACACCTTAAAGCTCTGTCTACTATTGTTATTTTTGTACAATTTACTATAATAACCTTTAATCAGTACTTGATACAATTGTTTCTAATAGCTAGCCACTACATTACTACAGAAAAATGTGATTTTTGTAATAATTAACTGAAGTATATTGTGTTAACAAGAACTTGTTATAAAAGCGAATTATCATTGAATCTTCATCTTGAAAAGCCATTAGTGATAATGTTATCAGACGTCTCAAACCACTTGTCCCAAAACATTATGTTATGTTAAAACATGGGATCTATTCGTCCATCTCGGTTGACCCATCCTCTAAACTAAACTAAAACTACTAATAATAAATAAATAAAATAAAATCTTAAAACCAGCCCCTACTAATAATAAATAAACAAAACAAAATCTTAAAACCAGCTCCAACTAATAATAAATAAATAAATAAAACAAAATCTTAAAACCAGCTCCAACTAATAATAAATAAATAAATAAAACAAAATCTTAAAACCAGCTCCAACTAATAATAAATAAATAAACAAAACAAAATCTTAAAACCAGCTCCAACTAATAATAAATAAATAAATAAATAAAACAAAATCTTAAAACCAGCTCCAACTAATAATAAATAAATAAATAAAACAAAATCTTAAAGCAAGCCCTTACCATTAATTTACTTATCAAACTTTTCTTAAACTCGTATAAATTTACTGCTTCCACAACATCCGAAGGCAACCTATTCCAAAGGCTAACCACCCTGTTAGAAAAATGAAACTGTATTAACTGAAGATGATTTCTACCTTCCCAAAATTTATATTTGTGTTCCCTAGTCCTACTATTCTCACTGTTAAATATGAAAAAAGATGATGCATCAACACTATCAATTCCCTTTATAATCTTAAACATCTCAATCAGATCCCCTCCAACTCTTACTTTAAAAAAAAAAAAAACAAAAAAAACAATTTGAGAGATTTCAACCTCTCCTCGTATAACAACCCCTCCATCTCGGGCACCATTCTAATAACTCTTCTCTGAACCATTTCCAACAATTCAATGTCTTTCCTATGGTAAGGAGTTCAAGACTGAACACAATATTCCAAATTTGGCCTAACCAGTGACCTGTACAATGAAATTATAACCTCTTTAGACTTGTATTCAATATTTCTGTAGATACAACTTAAAATCCTATTTGCCCTACCACTACCAACGGCACACTGCTTGGATGGCTTTAGAGACTGACTGACTATTAAATTAAGATCCCTTTCTTTCATAACACTGTTAAGATTATTCCCATCCAAATTATACTTATAATTTAAATTATGATAACCCACATGC